ATGCTCGTACAAGACATGTTGAGGTTGATTTTCACTTTGTTCGAGATCATGTTTGGCGTAAGTTTGTTTCGGTCAATTCTATCTCTGCTGCTGATCAGCTTGCTGACATTCTGACAAAACCCTTGTCCAAAGAGTTATTTCTTTCGATTTCAGGACAAACTTCGGCTTCTCTCTTCTCCGCCGTAAGTTTGCGGGGGCGTATTGTAATATTTAGTATATTTCCTATTATGTTCTAGTTTAGGGTTTCTTATTGTCTATATATAGTCTGTATATTGTGTGCAACAGATTATGAATCTAATACAATTTCCCTATTCTAAGTCCCTCCAGGACACAAACAATGAAAACGTGAATCCTTGAAACAAACTTAATTTGTCCCTGCTGACCGCCAACAATGTTGGACGCAGAGACACCATTTAATATATGTGGTCAAGTAGAAAGCATCTGGAACTCACACTGGAGGGCAATGACGAGAGTAGAAGCCATGAAGACTCGATGAGATCTACAGTGTTGAGACCCAGTTGGAAATGCAGAAACTTTGGCAGCTGGAAAGCTCATAACATTGAGTTTCAAAGCCATTTTCAGAGCTTTCGTCAATTCCTACTTCCACTAACCAAAATTAAAGGCATTCGGCTTTCCAAAATCCGAATACATAAATCCGGATTACGAATTTCCGTGTTTTAGATTCAAAAATTTGGCGCCTCGTTTTTCTTTTTTTTCTTTTTTCTTTTTAAGAACTCGGATTTCCCTTTCTTTTTTTTCTTTTTTCTTTTTAAGAACTCGGATTTGGGAAATCCGAGTACTATTCTTTATTAAAGAGTCCAGGTCCTGAACTCCTTATTTGAGTTCAAATATTTCGCGTCTCATTTTATTATTTTTTAATTAGATTCAGATTTCGCAAATCCGAACGGAACTGTTCATTTTAGAATTTTTTAAAACTATTATTCAATAAAATTTATTAAATTATTATTTTATTATTAATTAGAGATTCGGATTTCCGAAATTCGAATCTTTAATTTTAATTAGAACTCGAATTTCGGAAATCCCTGGTATATATTCCTGTCCACAGATTGTCAGAAAAATTTAAATTTGTCTACCTTTATTTTAATTAATTTTTTTAGGGAATTAACCCCAAAAAACTTACCCTAATTACAAACTGTAAAAACTATATAAAGTAATCTAATAACATTAATTACAATAAGCTCCCTTTTAGATGATTCAATTCTATTTTGATCCCTGAACCCACCTATGAAATATTATTGTATCAGGCGGTGATAATGTTGGTGTTGATTTAGTCATCGGACAGGTTCGTTTGCGTAATGTAAACAGAGTAGTCGGTCGGTGCAGTCGAGAAACTTCCCGTTTTCAGCTTATTGTGCAGGGAATATAAGGAGAGCTCATTCTTTAATGAGTGGAAAAAGACAAAAGGCCCGAATTATGTCCCAAAGATCAATATACCTTATTGCTCCCTTAACTGGCATAATTGACCTTCCAAAAATAAAATGATTAAAAAATATGTGTGAAAAGAGAAAAATGCCCTTTTTGTCTAATAATAATTTTCTATCCACATTTTATCTTAAGTTTTTCAATGACTTATTTTGTTTAACAAATCGTTGAAAAATTTATTTTAAGAATAACAATATTCACCGATTTTTGTTAAAATTAATTTTCCAAATAAATTAATTTATTTAGGGTTGAATTTTGTCTACAAAAAAGGATACAACTTCCAAAGAAAATAGCATAATTTCAATACTATTCGTGCTTTGAATTTGTCCATTGTTTTCATAATCGATGTAGAATATGGTTGAAAGTCTATCATTTCTTTTTTTAAAAAAAATGATGAATGTTTCATCCTTGAATAAATATTTTTGACAATTTGTATAGATTTTCGAAAAAAAAAGAGTAGAATTTGTAAACAGAAATTTGTTTTTAGGTGAAAAGCGGTATTTTGGCATTACATATTGTCGTTTTTGCTCTTAGGGGGTCAATTATGCGTTGACTAGCGATCGAGGGGTAATTGTCCTTATAGGAAAGGTCGGGATGGTTTACTATTTGGGACATAATTCAGATAGAAATTGTCCTTTTCCCGTAACCAGCTTTTGATCGATAAAAGTTAAAAGTCAATCGATGAAAGAAAAAAATGACAATAATATCCCTCGATCGTTAGAGCATCACAATGTCTTTGCTACCTTATAGTGTTGTCATCTCCAACCCACGAATTATTTTTTACATTAAAAAAAAGAAATATTCATAGTTTATTCGTTTTTACTATCATATGTTACCAATTTATAAAAGAACCCGATTAGATTAATTATATTATATAATAACCAAAACATTCCTCTTATATTTTTAGATTACATATTCATTTAATATTAAAATAATTATTTTAATATGGATTGCATAAAAAATAAGGGCGAATTACATTTAGCCCCCTGAGGTTTGGCCCAATAATGGTGCGGACCTTACCGTTTGGACATATAACCGACCCCCTTTGACCGGCAGGTTAAATGTAATTCGCCCAAAATATAATGATATGTTAATCGAGTAATAACTAAAAACAATAAAATCTAGATATACTTGCAAATGAATAAAATACATTATCAAAGAAAAACACACGAAAAATAAATACTACACCAAAAATAATAAGAAAACAACATCAATGGCATAATACATAAAATTCCACTCATCCTCCTCGAATTCCCCAGTTTGTACCTATAAATGATCCCGCAAAAGTATTTCTCAATTTAGAATGAGCATCTGTATCCTTAATTTTCTATATAGAGCAATATATTGCTGGAACGGAACATCTTCGTTTGATATCCTTTCTACTTCTGCTCGTGGTGCTTCTCGTCCAAGTCGAATAGGCCCATTGAGATCATTTTCATTCTCCATAATCATGTTGTAGATATAATACATGCTATCATCATATCATACATTACTTTATTCTCCAAAAAGCGAGCAAGCCCTTTTATAATTTTAGACCTCAATTGCAAAACTCAAAAGGTACTTTTCACATCCTTGTTACAGGCCTCATGCTTGGTCTTAAAATATTTGTGCTTTCAAAATTTAAGATTTTTAAGCGATTGCACTACCGTGGCTCATTTCGGGTAAATACCATTGACTAAATAAAATGTCATATGATATTCTTTTCCTTTAATAATATAATTAGCCAGAGGTGTAATAGCTTGAGAAAGGTTATAAAACAAATGTAATAATTTTAAATATTAATATCATTATTTGTACCCGGCGTACCAAAATAAGTGTACATATTCCTGAACATAACTCACATGTTTTGTACACGAAAAACAGTGTTTAAACTTTTTTTTTTTAAGATCATAAAATTTATTTTGATGATTATGAAAAGTAGAAAACAAAATTAAAAAGAAATAGGAAAAAAATAATAAAAAGTAAAAAAAAGAATTATTTTGTTATTTTTGCATATTTTTGGGGGTTTGTGTTTTTTAAAAGAAATCCAGGGCGATACCTAGCGGGCATTCTCTCAATTTCATTAATAAAAAACAAAAAGTTATAAAGGACAGTGCTTAAGACTTATCCAAAGGGAAGAACCGTCGTAGATAGATTTTCTAGAAATCTCATGCCGGGTATGATGCACTCTAGACTAAGAACTGTCTTCCAAAGAATTTCTATATTCTCCTGACAGTTCTATACGTTACCATACAATACTAAGAGACTGTTTTACAAAAATCATTCAAGAATCCCATAACAGTTCTGCATAAATAATTAAAAAAAAAGGAAAAAGTAAAATAAAAAAATCTAGATCTTTAGCTTCAAAATAAAAAGCTACTTTGTCCGCAGATACGGAGTAGCTTGTTGATCCAGGAACATCAACATGAGTATAATTGGGTAGTTGCAATTGATGTATGTATGTAGTCGATGTTCTTGAGGAAGCTGTTTTTGTTAAAGAATCCGCCACTGCATTTACTTCTCGATAAACATGCTCCAATGTATAAAAATCTTTATCCAATATTTTTTTATTTCTCGCAAAAATGTCTTATTTCTCCCAGAAAAACTTGAGTTGGTTTGAAGGAAAGTGACTAGAGATTTGTTATCAGATCTTACTCGAACTCGTTATAGTTGCAATTATTCACATTTGCTCAGTCCAATTAGCATTGCTTCCACTTCTGTTTCGAAACTGTTTCGAAAGCCTAGTTCTTTACATCCTGCAATGAATAGGTTATCTTCATAATCACTGATAATTTGGGGGTTCTTTTTATAACTATTTTTAAATTATTGAGGTGTATTTGTTAAAAACTAACGAAAATTGGGTCAATTAGATGATTGACAAATATTTCAAAGAATAAGGAAAAGTTGGCTAACCGAAGAGTTAAATAGAATAAAATTAACGATGGAATCAAATTTTTGGATATAACCGCTATTTGTTCGAACTTAACCTGCGGAAACTTTGCACAACAACAACCAAAAAAAAAAAAAAACCGAAGTGGCTCTTTGTTTTATGCTTTTTGGACTCTTTAAGCAAGGGCAAAAGTGTCTCCTCGGGCCCATTCTTTGCTCATGTCATTAAGGATGATTAAGTATGAGACCTCGAATTATTGGGAAAAAAAAAACGCATGTATCCTCGAATTCCCTTTTAATTAGATGGCAACATTTTCCAAGCAATACGTGTTATACGAGCGAGAGAGCTACAATTCAATTAGAGAAACAAGGGACCTGCAAATATCAACGGGAATGTGGATAATGCGTCCTATCTTCATAATTATTGTCTTCTTGGAATTTGACTTGGTCAAGTTTCAGTGGTGTCAATAAGATTTTGGATAACAGAATCTGTAAAGACAAAATTTATGCCTGAGATATTAGGGGAAAAAAAAAAGGAAGAAAAACACTGCTCTCTCCATCCCACAAAAATAGTCCACGTTAAATTTTGAGTTTTGTACTATTTTTAGTGTAAATTTGAAAACTCAATGTGAACTATTCTTTTATGACGGAGGTAATATTTTTCATGAGATGCGAGAAATCACGTCCGATTAACTAAATGAAGCAGCCCTTCCACCTCTCCAGTCCTTAGCTGAAGGACCATCAACAGTTTTCTGGGTGGCTGAAGATCAAAAGAACAAGCAACATAAGATACTGGGTTCCGAAAAGAAACATAACAACAAACTAATAGAATCCTAAGCTGGTACCAACCAGTAATGGAGTGGACAGTGGTCATAAGACCCTCAACAATGCCAAACCTGTCATGAATGACCTGCAAATAAAGACCGAAGAAAGAGAATATAAGAAGGATGGCTACATGAATAATCAAAGTCCAATGCAGGCAAATAGAAAAGGTGGTTCATATAACCTTAGCCAAGGGAGCAAGACAGTGGGTAGTGCAACTGGCATTAGACACAATGTCCAACTCGGGCTTGTATTCCTTCTCATTGACACCAACAACAAACACGGGTGCATCCTTGCTGGGAGCAGAAATAACAACCTTCTTTGCACCTTGGTTTCTTTTGGTGTTGAAAGAAATCCTTCATTCATCATCCTTCAATTTATAATATCCTCTTGCCTTTAGTTTCTGGATTTCATTTGACATTGTTCGAGGGAAAAATTATGCACTCAGACTCTGTAGCAAGACCATCTAAACACAACAATTCATCATCCTTCAATTTATAATATCCTCTTGCCTTTAGTTTCTGGATTTCATTTGACATTGTTCGAGGGAAAAATTATGCACTCAGACTCTGTAGCAAGACCATCTAAACACAACAATATGACGATAGCGCTGAGCTCTAACACTAAAGTGAGATCAAGAACCGAGTACTTATGGTTATTGATAATTTTCCATTCGAACTAAAGTTCATATACAAACTAGCAGGTCCTTGTAATCAAATCCTTAACCGCAGTTAGGTAATGTCACAATTGTGTCAAATCCTTAACCTTAAACGGCATAAACATCAAAATGAAAAAAAATAAATGCCATAATTTCCTCCAACAATTCAAAACAAATACCTAAAATCAAAGTTCTCAACTACATAGCTTATATCAAATTCCACGAGCTCTCCACGAGCTTTCCACTAGCTTGTACTGTTCCAATATCTTTCTTACATCCTCCACTTCGCAACCAGCATCATTCGCAATTCCCATCATCCTATTCTCACTGATCAACTCGGTCTGATCAGCACCATCCAGTTCTGCATATACACACATAAACACACGATTATTAGATGACTACTAATATCAACAAATTATTAATTCAGTCGGTCAGGAATTTGCCTTCATCAGTCATATGATTCAAAATTGCCAATCGACGTTGTATCTTAGATTTGCTGTCGTCTTCTTCAGGCAGCATTCTCGAAAGACATGCAGGGTGCTTCAGTAACATCTGCATCAACAAAGCAATTAAATAAGAAAAACTGTTGAAAGAAATGAAAAGACTTGAGAAGGCAGTCAAAGACCTGAATTAAGCCTACATGATAATATGTTCAAGATCAATCTAGATCAAATATTTCTATTGAAGATTGAGCTCTGCTCGAAATAAAAGAAACTTGTGCATGTTTGGTTCAAATCAAAGCTCAATAATAATAGTTCGAAACTGAAGTTTACAGTATTCTTTAGTCATCTCATCTGCAATTCACTTTACCAACTCAATGAGCAAAAACCTAAAATGAGTACTAGTCTGAAACCGAAGTTTACAGTATTCTTTATTCATCTCATCTGCAATTCAATTTACCAACTCGATAAGCAAAAACCTAAAATGAAATCCTTTTAAAGAAATGCAGTATACCAACCAATCAAATATATCAATTGATCAGGTTTAACAAATCTTTGCGAATTGTTCTTGCATATTCCTCAATGTGAAATTTCCTTCCCTAATATTTCGAAGATGGCCAGGCTGGACATCATTTGGACCAAGTTTCTCAAATTCTTTCATGACACTACACCAGTATCCCTTGCCGAAAAAATTAAAATAAATAAATTATCAAATAAATAAAAGATTAAAAGAAATGAATTAAAATTCAGAGAATAAATTGCAAACCTAAGAGGCGGTTGACAAAGGATTTCACATCAAAAGCTTCAAACTCGTCTACATCTTCACCAGTCTCAATAAACATAACTGGAAGTTTATGAGCAGCCAATCTGCACAAAGGATGTGAAAATATCATAATTTGCAGTGAATTAAGCCCAAAGGAGAGAAATCAGTCTAAATCCACAAGAACACAAGAAAATCAAAGAGAGAGATTAGTCGAAAGAAAGAAAGCAAGAAATGCGGAAAAATTAAGAGACCGTAGCATATTCCAATACCTTCATCCTGCAATCACTAAAACGACACATAAAAAGTAATCAACTACTGAATCCAATCTACATGGCGGATCTATAATGTTAACATAATATAGAATATTAAATGCTGATTATAAGCTCAGTTAGTTCCTTAATAACTATCAAACTTCACTATTCGGCTTCTTAGGTAATAGCTAACAAACCCCACCCTTGAAAACCTTACCCACAGGCTTCAGGTTGACAGTAACAACTTTTACTGTGCCCTCATATTTTGGCAGGAGATCAAGCATGAAGAATCCTCTCCTCCCATAGCTGCTGCAATATTGCTTCTGGGCAACTATAATCATATCCTCTAATCGTTGAGTGGTAAAAGGGTGGATGCTTGCTGACATCTCCCTTTTATATCTTCAATCTTCAGACATTAATGGGATAATGAAATAGTTGGTAGCCCCAGATAATAAGCTACTGCACCAACCTTTTCTACAATAGGAAATAGTCCAAAAAACTTAGATAAAAAATTCAGAATCCTCCTGAGCTGAACTGATTATTGTCTATATGATTGCAATTAAACAATACGGTGCATATCTCCCACCAAGAAATTCCCTCAGTACGGTGCCTATCTGCAAGCATCTTCATACGATTCTGACCTTTAGCTAAATGATCATGGAGTAACAGGGAAATCACATCTCTATCCAGAATCAGTTAACTTGCTGCAGGTGCTACTGTATCAAACAAGATGCCATAGAAGATAAGATAGGAAGACCCCTTTGAAAATGGAGTCATCTGAGGACCCGTGTGGAAATTGGTGTAATACCACCAATCTGCCAATTGAAGTCACTGTTTCCAACCAGACAGTCAATCCAGCACATCCATCACATTGAAATTGTCTCTCGGTTCGCCCATCTGTCCGAGGATGGTAATCTATTCTATAGTGCAACTGAATCAGGACAGTAGAGAACAATTATTCCCAACCAGTGAAGATAGTAGAAGAAACTCAACGCAATTTAACAACATTCTACAAGAAAACCAGGGCTACATCATTAGCTGAGAATGGATGAAACAAACTCATAAAATGCCCCAACAAGGTAAATCAATCAGCAATCGCCAGAGTCATATAACCTCCTCCTGAAAGTGGTAAAATTCCCCGCAAAAAAATATATTCATGTGAGTCCAAGCCTATTCCAGAATTGGAAGAGGCAACAAACCTTGCACGGAATTGTTTTGCCCTTGTTCCTTTGACACTTATTACATTCTGCGACAAATTTATTGATTTCCATCCACATTAGATACCAGTGAAATGCAAAATTTATCTCTAAAAGCCTCCAAACTGATGCATCAAATAGCACCCAAACAAAAACTACCGCACCAACCAAAATGGTCCACTCCTGATTCACGTAAAGCATGTATGAACTGATATTTCAACTCCAGCTTGTTCCAATACATATTTTCCCTTTACACTTCAAAAGGCTAACTACATACTGATAATCAGGGATGCCACCTCGTTGCAAAGTCAAATCAGCAATTAAAGCTTGACATATTGGATTGTAAGATTACACACTACTAAATTCCACTATTATTCATTACTCCTATTTTTTTGGTTCACATTATTCATTACTCTCAAATTGGCAACAAACTCATTTTGCTGAATCCTACAGTACATCTCCTTGCGACTTTATAACTACAAATTTTTCAACCACTAATGTGGCAAACAGAGGCCTGGTCTCCTAAATCTCTAACCAAGCTACTCTCTAATAAATAAAACAGTGAATCACCTGTCTCTCCAAATATTTTTCATGAGCTGCACTCCATATGCTAAATCAAGTGTTATCGTTTTCCATGTTAGCGAAGAAGGTAAAGCATACAAGAACACCTCAATAGTGGTTCCTGGATTTCCAGTACTCATCTTCCCCTTCCACATCCTCAAATTCTTCATCTACTTGTGAATAAGATTCGCATTATCCATCTTATGCTGATACCGACGAAAATATTTCTCCGCATACAGGTGATTGTCCATATTCCCGTGGAGTTGTTTTCCTGAATTCCCTCTTTTCATTCGTCTTAGGCCTGTTCAATCAATAATTCATCGATTTGCCACTTCCGAGAGGCCAAACCACCTTTCCACCTTTACTGTTACAGGTGTTTAAAGCCACTTTGCCCTTTTACAACATCATTTCTATTGATTTCAAATACATCACTCATTGTTGTAGATTTCATGACCTTCGCCATCAATTTCGACAGGATACAAAACACTCTATAAAGTGAGACTTATCAGATCAAGCAACAAAATCAGATCATAGCTCCTCAAACGTTGTTGACACTCCCAGACTGTTCCGTCCTGCTGGAGTTTATAGAATCCTCTATTTCATCTGGTAGCCCTTTTCCCTAAGAACATATTCTTCCCACTGTAACTTCTTTCAGGCCAATATTATACTCCGGTACCGCACATCAGCCTAATCCTTCAAATGCATTTCAACCCCATGCATGTTGGAACCATCGGAACTTGACAGGCCAAAGTGTATTTCTCACATTTCCTCACCCAATCCGTGTGACTATTTCCAAACAAAATTGGCAGCTCAATTGGAATGATCCCACCACACATGCGAGTGACCCTTACTCCAGCACATTAACTAACGGAATTTCTTCTTCTCGGCACTCATGGGCATCACTAGTATGGGAATCTTGTTTGGAGTAAGCTCTTGGTTGCTCCAGTTCAGTTTCTCTGTTCCTCGTCATAAAATTCATGAAAGCCTGACTTGTTGATTCTAACAGTGCCGCCTACAATCAAATTTTGACTACTACAATGGCGACCATGCTGCGATCTCATTAAAGCTTCCATTAGTTCCAATCTTCGTTAGACCAGCTGAGTGTTCCTCATTGTCTAGAGTTTGCCATGAGAATATGATTACTGGTAAAGAATCACTCTCAATACCAAATTTGTTATGCATCCCAAGATTGTTAGATTGAACTCAAACAAAGATTCCCAAGAGAAACCAGGCAGTGAGATTCAACGAAGAGAGAGACTTATAAAAGTAATCTACTAGAGGATCCTGTCTACATGGCAGATCCATTAGGGTTGCAATCAAACCACAATATTAATTGCTGACTACAAACTCAGTTTACTCCTTAATAACTATCAAATGGCATCGCTCTTGTGCTTCTCCTTTCTATGTTAATAGCTAACATCAATACTAAAACTCTACTGTAATTTAGGAAATAATTGAAAAATCATCAAAAGAGTAAAGACTACTTGAATGCATGCTCTCTACGATTAAATGCATGTAAAGACAATACTTAAGTACTAAAATAAGCATGCTCTCTGCGATTAAGCAAGGCTAGGTGCTTGGTAAAAAACAAAAACAAAAATGATACAAAAGAAACATATAAAGAGAAGGAAATGCCGAAATTGCATGTAAAGACAATACTTACGCACTAAGACAAGCACCTTCCTTCTCATGATCATCCATTTTAGTAACAATTATACCTCCATCGAAATTACTATTATCGGGAAACGGAATTGCATTGCCAATATGGCTATCCACAACATAAAGAAGCAGATTTGCCCTCTGAAATTCAGATCAACCCATTAGCATAACTAGCTCATCTTACATTAGCATAACAACACTCAACAAAGTCATACAAGCATTCACAATTACATACCGTTTTTGTACAAATTTCTAACAATTTATCCAAATAAGCATCAATAATAATGAGGTCATGTTGTCTATTCTTGAAACTCCTCAGACCTTTATCGGCAATTTTGCAGGCATCCCGATTATGGTATCTGTTGCAACAAAGAACCCAAATAAATAAATTGGAGTAAAACATATGACTAAACCAAATCTTATAAATCAGTAACTATAAATAAACTATCAAAAATATGCAGAAGCAATCAAAGTGAGTTCATAGAGTCAAATATTTGTACCTTTCAGCACGACGTGCTGGTTGAAATGGTATTTCAGCTTTTGTTGCAAGGTGGCATAGTTGAGCAAATTCGACCGCATTGTAATTATCAGCATAAACCACGGCAGGATCCCAGCCCTGCTTTTTGTAGTGTCGTGCCAACTTTACACATGTGGTTGATTTACGAGAACCTACAACAAACCAAACGTCTAATAAAAGAGCAATTCACGTCTAATAAAAGAGGGTTGTCAATACTCAATTTGCCAGAAAAGTTCTACCGTCCTCCCCTGCAACCAAAATGACGCAGAGTTGGCCTCTCTCTGCTGCGGTTACAGGTTGAGTTCCAGAATCCAACATCGCAATAAGCCCATCAAATACAGCCTAAAAATGGAATAGAATTACTGTCAAAACAATATGCGTCCTCAACAAACAGAAGTAATAATAGTAATTTGGCAAGGCCGATACATGTGGAATTACCAAAATTCACGAAATACAAACAGCAATAAATCAAAAGAAAAATTGAATAGAAATGCTCATACTTTCTGAATGACACTACGCCTGTCATATACAGAAGGTCTACAGATCAGGTCTTCAACAGTGATGATTCTACGGAGATCAATAATCATCTTCAAGATTATGCGCATCTCAACATCCGCGTCCTTGAGAGCATCCAAAATTTCATTGAAGAAATCTGACAGAACACTTTGAGCGACCGAAGTTCCGAAGAGAACTGAGAGATCACTATCATCGACCTCAGCTGCAATCAACTTCTCAATAGCAACACAAATGCTCGAACGTAACCTTGACAGCACCATCGCTAGATTTTCAACTCTAAAAAACCAAAACCCTTGACAGTAGTAGTACTATATATATATATTTGGGAAAACCTCAGCTTTGGTCCCTAATGTTTGGGGGGTTGTTCACGTGAATCCCCTTTTATTTTTTTTTAACAAAATTAGTCACCAAAAATGTTTATTTGGTCAATTTTAGTTTTTTTTTATAGAAATTTTGGGAATTTAACAGAAGTGGTCTTACTACCAGAAGTTTTACTACCAATTTTCCTTTTCTTAGGGTCTGGTAGTAATACTTTAGCAAGGCACCTCCACACTTTTAAATATTTCAAATTAGGTTTATAACCTTTCCATAATTCATAAGGTGTTTTGCTAGTCTTTTTATGAGGAACTCTATTTTGTAAGTGGCATGCAAATAGTATAGTCTCACCCCATAAAGTATCAGGCGCTTGAGAGCTTACTAACATAGAGTTCATCATTTCTTTTAGTGTTCTATTTTTCCTTTCAGCTACTCCATTTGATTCAGGTGAATAAGGAGGCGTTATTTCATGAATTATACCTTCTTATTCACAATGTTCATTTAAGGCAAAATATTCACCTCCACTATCAGACCTAACTCTTTTTATTTTTCTATTAAGCTGATTTTCTACTTCAGTTTTATAAAGTATAAATGCATTATAAGCATCATCTTTATTTTGAAGTAAATAAAGTCTAGTATACCTAGAATAGTCATCTATAAAAGTGACATAATATCTTTTACCTCCTCTAGTCATAGTTTGTTTTAAATCCCCTAAGTCTGTATGAATTAGACTTAATAATTCAGTTTCTCGAATAATACTTTTACAAGTTTTCTTAGTGATTTTAGTTTCAGCACATATTTCACATTTATCCGTATTAGTAAAATTAATACCAGAATTAAACCAAATGATTGCATTTTCTTTATGTAACCAATATTAGTGTGTCCTAATCTAGCATGCCATAAAGAAATAGAATCAACAATATAAGCAGAACCAGATGCATTTTCATTGATCACATTGGAAATGTTGAGGACAAAGAGTCCTTGGTTACAATAGCCTTTCCCCACGAACACATTGTTCTTGGTCATAACAATCTTTTCAGATTCAAATGACACTTTTATCCCAGCTTTCCCCAGTAAGGCAACAGAAACCAAATTTGCTCTAATGTTTGGAACATGCAGCACATTGTTAAGGGCTAAACTTTTTCCTAAAGTGAGCTTCAGGACAACCTTCCCTTTACCAAAAACCTTTGCAGGCCGTGAGTCTCCCAAGTAGACAACCTCTTCATCATCTCCTACAGAAGTATAGGAGGAAAATGCTTCTCGATTTGCACAAATGTGCCGAGTAGCCCCAGAGTCTACAACCCACTCTTTGATATTGGCAGCAATGTTCACTTGAGAAATAACGGCAGCAATTATTTCATCTCCTTTGACTATATTAGCCTTAGGAGGATTCACTTTGGCATCGTTATTCCTCTTTCTCTGCCTACACTCAGCAGCATGATGATTTGGCTTTCCACAAACAAAACAATTGCCTTTCTTCTTAAAAGTGGGATTATTAGGCTTGTAATTTTTGGACTTGTTATCGTACCTCTTGTTGTTGCTTTGCACCAAGTTTGCTTTGAGCGCAATCTCCTTGGCTTCGGCAATCTTTGACTCCTTCCTGTTAGTATCTTCGGTCAGGATGTGCGTCACCAACTCCTCAACTGTGAAGATCTTCTGCTTGTGCTTCAGGTTGTTCTTGTACTCACTCCACGAATCTGGAAGTTTTTCGATCAGCACTCCTTAGCAACAAACTTCTCAGGTAGCACAATGTCTTCAGCCTTCAAATCCTCGAGCAGCTTCTGATATTCGTTGACTTGAGCCTTCATCTCTTTCTCTTCAACCATCTGCCATTGGTAAAATTTTCCAACGACAAACTTTTGCTTCGTGGCATCTTCAGCTGTGAACTTTTTGATTAATGCGTCATAGATGGATTTGGCTACTTTGTAGCTACAGTACACATCAAATAACTCATTAGAAAGAGTTTACAAAATGGTGTGACGACATACCTTATTGGCATGTTGCCACGATTCTTGAATCTTGCTATCAGCAGTTGAGTCGGGCTGGACATCAGTCAAAGCATAAGCAACTCCATGGATGTCGAGCAAGGAAAAGACACGTTCTTGCCAACGTTTGAAATTTTCATTGGCAAAAACTTCAATCTTCGAAACATCGGGAAAAGGTTTGGCATATGTTAAGCCGACAGGGACTGAGGGTGTAGCTGGTACAATAACTGTGGATTGCGTAGCATCAACATTGATAATTCCATCAACATTGGTAGCATTAGCATGGCCGGAATTCATAGTTTCTTAAGATTGTAGGAAAAATGTAGGCTAAATGCTAATAAGTAAAAATAATAAATACTTGAGTCGCGCTAAAAAGTACTGTCCTTAAGAAACTATTCCAATGGTATTGAAATGTCTCCCCAGGATTAAACAAGTCTTCCTCCAAAATACAGAGGGGACAAGAACAGCTAAAATAATATTTATCCAGCAAAAGAAATAAAAGAAATAAAACTTTTAATTTGAAGTCAACAAAAAAATAGTGCTAAAAAGGATTTTGCACTTAATTTGCAAAATAAAATTAATCGAATGATGAATAGTAAAGCAACACTAAGAATAGCTTCAGTTTGTTTGCACGAATGGAGAGAAAATGATTTTAACAAAAGGAACTAATGAATAAATAAAAGAGATGAGAAGGAGAGAATGTTTTTTGTACACTTTGATAAATGAAAGTGGCCTGCTATATATAGTGTAAAATGTGCCGTTATTGTTCCTAAAGATCAGAAGGAGAATCCCCATTTTTCAATCAGATTTAAAACTTTCATGGAAGTCATGGCCTAAATTTAGGAACCAACAACTTAGACATTTTCTCTCTTTTGACTTAGTAGTATAAAACATGTGATAATCTCTTTAATTCAGATTTTCATCTTAGTGAAATTAATTTGACATAGTCAAATTCACTTTTAACAATATTCATCATAAATTCACAAAAATCTTTTGAAATATTGTTGAAAAATACAACAATTACCTGGTCTTCAGAACTAGAGTCTCCCCAACACAGTGAATAGCAACAGGTCAGCTTTAGAGTATGGCATCTTAAAATTTGCTTTAAAATGTAAACAGTATTTCAAACAGTATTTCAAAAATCAGAGCAAGAAACAAACACAATGAGCCACCAGTAACAACAATAACTGAAAATGAAAAGTCATTTATACTTGATACAGAAGATGCATCGTCGAAAAGTGAAACGTATTTGACATCTACAAGAAACTAGTCACCTCAATACAAAAGTCATTCAGAAGAAAATCTAGAGATCAACCATCTGTCTCAGATTAACTTCTGAGAACTCCACTATTGCCTTTATATAACTTCTGAGAATATATTAATTACATGAATTTGAAACTGAAAAGAAAATGTGATTGGCCTTTCAAACAGGATCAGCGCAAAAAGACCAATAAAGGGAAAAACGTTCGAATTTCAAGTGAAATTTCTTCGTTTCTGAATCCATAAACTGGATATCAAGATAAGTGGAATGGTTATTAGGAGCTCGGCAATAAGGACAATAGAAGAGTATCCAGAAAAAAAAAATCTAAAAAAATCACAAGTGCAAACATGCAACATGGAATCCTCCCAGTTAGTAAATCCCTAGAAGCCGGATCAGGGCTGCTCCATCGAAGGTAACCATCAATGTTGTCAGACAAGGCTCGGACACCGACTCGGCGAGGATAGGGGTCAGGTGTTTTAGGGATCGATTCGGGTCGACTCGGATGACATCATTATGACGTAATAAATAATATATAATTATAAAATATATTATAATAATTAAAATGGCTTAACATTCATGTAATTTTTTATAGTAATAATGTCAACAATAGCATCTTAGAGTATTTAATTACATTTAAAATAAATATATTAATTTAAAATTAACACAATCTAATTATTTTTAATTAGAATTCATAAATTTACAAGATATGAACATTTATTACTAATAAAATGTATAATATAATAATCAATTTTGACATATTTTAGATATGATTGCAATTTGTATGAAATAATGGAGGTTGATATATGAGAAAAATAATAAAAAGATTTTTATATAAAAATGGTGCCTTTAATAAGCTGAAGTTAAAAGTTACTAAAATGATAAATTAATTATTGAAGAAAAAGTTATTGGGTCATTGAAGCATAAAAGGAAAATATTGGGACTAGGAAAGAGAAAGAAAAACACGAAAAACGAGGGGCAAAAGTAAAAAATTTGGTCAAAAGAAGCATAAATCAGCAAACCCCGGATTGACCCGGTTCAGACCGGTTTCCGATTCACTTGGGATTTTGACCGAGTCAAAAAAAAGGAGTTTTTTAGGTCACTCGGCTCGGCATGTGGTCCGGTCCCGGTTCAACCGGTTGAACCGGCCGATCCGAGCCGAGTCCAACAACACTGGTAACCATCAAATGATCATTCAACATTCACATGAAATAACCAAAGCTTACATGGTCTCTAGTTTAATTGTTGGCAGTCGCTGAACTCCTTAAATAGTTATTCAATTGTTGATTTAATTGTCATGTACCAATTCGTCAACATTGGCAAATTGCGAAAAGCAAAAAGAACAAGATTGGGTCTAATATGGAAAGAGTCTCAATTATTTTTTGAGACAGAAATATATAGTACTTGTCAATCGGTTATATTATTTGTAATTACCTGAGTAGTTATATTTGCTATAAATTGTTGTTTTCGTCACAATTGAGATGGTATTAATGAATTTATCTTCACCTTTGAAGGATTTAAGATTTCGTATCCACATTTCTCACTGGGTTTATTTTTTCATCTCGTATATAATATATATATATATATATATATGGAAAACTCTATGTTCCAGTCATTAATTTTTTACTGAATCATCTAGTCAAAATGTATCCAATCGGAATTTAAGATGTAAGCAATGACTGTAAGGTGAGAAACATTGTAA